CCCGACCGCGCCTCGGACCGAACCCGCGCTCCCGGTTCTCTGAGCCGAGCTCTTCCCAGCCCTCCCGGTTCTCTGAGCCGAGCTCTTCCCAGCCCGGCGCTCCCGGTTCTCTGAGCCGAGCTCTTCCCAGCCCTCCCGGTTCTCTGAGCCGAGCTCTTCCCAGCGCTCCCGGTTCCCTGAGCCGAGCTCTTCCCAGCCCGGCTCTCCCGATTCTCTGAGCCGAGCTCTTCCCGGCGCTCCCGGTTCTCTGAGCCGAGCTCTTCCCAGCCCTCCCGGTTCTCTGAGCCGAGCTCTTCCCAGCCCGGCGCTCCCGGTTCTCCCGGTCGGGCTCTGCCCTGCTCGGCGTCCCCGCTCTCCCCACCCGTTCCTTCCCTCCGCCGCCGCAGCCGCGCTCCCCCCACCCCACCCGGTGCCTCTTTTTCCCGTCCGGGCGCTTCCCCCCGCCCCGTCCCCCCCAAACCCTGGCTCTGGCTCAGCGCCGGGCCCGGCCCCGGTGTTTCGGGGGGTGGGGGGAGGTTTGTGCGGGGGCGCCGTCGGGGTCCCCCCTGACCGGCTCCGCTCCGCCCGCAGCTGGACGCCAAGAAGAGCCCGCTGGCGCTGCTGGCCCAGACCTGCTCGCAGATCGGCAARCCCGACCCGCCGCCCTCCTCCAAGCTGAACGCCGTGGCCGCCGCCGCGCCCGCCGCCGACAAGGAGCCCTCGGCCCGGCCCGCCGCGCTGAAGCCGCCGGGCAGCGGGGACGCGCCCGCCGAGGACAAGTCGAGCTTTAAGCCGTACTCGAAGGGCGGCGGGGAGCCGCGCAAGGAGGGCGGCGCGGACAAGGCCGGCTTTCGGGTGCCCAGCGCCGCTTGCCCGCCGTTCCCCCCGCACGCCGCCGCCTCGCCCGGCGGATCCCGCGGGGCCTCGCCGCAACACCCCGAGCCCAAAGGCGCCGAGGAGAAGAAGGAGCCCGAGGGGGGCAAGCCCAGCCCCGAGGGGACGGGCGGGGCGCTGGGGCGCGGGGCGGTGGAGCCCGGGGCGCACGGCGAGCCCCCCTCGGGCCGCAAGTCGGAGCCCCCCGCCCTGCCGCCCGCCGGCCATGTGGCCCCCGTGTCGCCCTACAAGCCGGGCCACTCCGTCTTCCCCCTGCCGCCCTCCAGCATCGGCTACCACGGCTCCATCGTGGGCGCCTACGCCGGCTACCCGTCGCAGTTCGTGCCCGGGCTGGACCCCACCAAGCCGGGGCTGGTGAGCAGCCAGCTGCCGGGGGCRCTGGGGCTGCCGGGCAAACCGCCCAGCTCCAGCCCGCTGACCGGGGCCTCGCCGCCCTCCTTCATGCAGGGATTATGCCGGGACCCGTACTGCCTGAGCTACCACAGCGCCTCGCACCTGGGCTCCAGCAACTGCTCCAGCTGCGTGCACGACCCCGGCAGCCTCAAGAGCGGATACCCCTTGGTGTACCCCACGCACCCCCTGCACTCGGTGCACACCACGCTCTCSTCCAGCGGCACCGCCAGCCTGCCCGGCCACCCCCTCTACACCTACGGCTTCATGCTGCAGAACGACCCCCTGCCCCACATATGCAACTGGGTGTCTGCCAGCGGACCCTGCGACAAGAGGTTTGCCACCTCGGAGGAGCTGCTCACCCACCTACGGACCCACACGGCCCTGCCGGGGGCCGAGAAACTCTTGGCGGGTTACCCTACCTCCGGGCTGGGCTCCGCAGCCTCCTGCCACCTGCACCTCCCGCCCGCCGCCCCCGGCAGCCCCAGCACGTTACCGGCCTCGCTCTCCTTGAGGAGCCCACACACTTTGGGACTAAACAGGTACCACCCKTACGGCAAGAGCCACTTGCCCACGGCCGGCGCGCTGCCCGTGCCCTCCTTGCCGGCTGCCGGACCTTACTACTCCCCGTACGCGCTCTACGGCCAAAGACTCACGTCAGCTTCTGCACTGGGATATCAGTAACCACGGCGGCCCCAGCCCCAGCCCCCCGCGCCCTCCTTGGACTCTGTATTTATTACTGTATGTTAGCTTAAAGCTGGGAATATAAGTGCATTATACACACCAATGAATCAATGGTATGCAAAAGTCTGTGTCCAAAAAAAAAAAAAAAAAAAAAACCGAAAAAAAAAAGAAAAAAAATACCCTCTTTACTTTGCAGGTGTGGGGCTTTGATTTTTTTTTTCCCCCTTCTGTTTCTTTTGAATTTTTTTTTCCTTCCCCCTTCTTAATTTCCCCCCTGAGAAATTCTTGCATGACTCCTACCACAAATGGAAAAGCGGAAAAAAAAAAGGCATTTTCCTCCTCCCCGCTGCGTTCATCGCTCTGGGATTCTGTTCTCTGCATTTGTAACTTGCAGATGTGATATTTTTCTTATTTTGAATTTTTGGGTTTTTTAAATTTTTTTTTTCTCCTTTTAAAATTTTTGTTTCTTTAAAAAAAAAAATATTCTTCTTTTTTTTTTTTTTTTTTTTTTTTTTTTTTGTTTTTTTTTTGTGCCCTGTGTCCGGGGCCGGGGGGGCTGTGGACACCGGCCGGGTGATGGTCACCCCGGGCCGTACCCCGCGTGTCCCCGCATCCCGGGGGGACCGGAGGAGCGGCAGGACCGGCGGCCCCGGGCGGGCGGGCGGACGAGCCCCGGTAAGTCTGATTTTGTTAATAAACGGCTCTTGGTTGTACCCACGCTCTGGTCTCCTCTCGTCCGTGCCCCCGCGGGCTCCCAGCACCATCTAGCGGTGTTGGCGGCGGCGGGACCGGGCACCGGAGCTCCGAGCACCGGGGGCGGCTCCCGGGCCGGGCTGGGGGCTCCTCGCCCCGCTCCCCGCGGAGGGAAGGTTCCAGAAGGCGTGTGAGCGGGGTCAGTGCTGTCTCCGGGTTGTTGTGGGGAGCAGGGGGTCACCCCCTCCCGGGGGTGCGGATTTTGGGGTGGAATTGCGGGGTCCTGGAGCGCGGTGTGAGCGCGGCCGGGAGCTGCTGGGGAGCTGTGTGCTCCCATTTAGGGTTTGTGCCGGGAGAGGAGGAGATGAACGGCTCTGASATGGTCTCGCTCTGTCCCTGCCATGTCCCCCAGCCGGGCAGGGGGCTCTGCCCGCTCCACTCCCCAAGGAAAGCGCTTTGGGGCGAGCCCCTGCTCCCCCTTGAAAACCCCACATGCCCCATTGTCCCACGCCACTTATTTTTTTCTGCCTCAGTCCTGTTGCATTTCAGTGAGTCATGCAATTAATCCCTGTTAATTGCCTTCTCGATATTGCTTTTATGCCCTGTGTTTAAATTCCTTTGTGTCCTTTGAGCTGAAAAATAACGCGCTGAGAACAGGGACTGCTTTTGCCGAAGGGATTTTTTATTTTCCTACCTGTGCCTTGAGCGTGGCCGCGGGCGTGCGGCCTGGGGAGGGCCCAGCCGGGGTTTCCTGTGGCAATGGAGAGGTTGGTGGCCAATTTGGCTCGGTTCCGAGCCCCCCGAGGCTGGGGGATGCTGTTTCGGGGGTGCCCCTCGCCCGGTGTGGMCGTGGCTGGGCTCTGGTTGTGGTGTCGCTCCTTGCGGGTGGGAGTTTGCTGGAGGAGGGCCGG